TTTTTTCTCTATGTTTCGATTTGCTTTTAATGGGCTTTTTGTAGTGGACGGAATTTTAAAATTAATTAATCAATTTGCTTCTAATGGGCTTTTTGTAGCGGACGGTATTTATTTGGACTTGGTCCCATCTGCTGCTGTTTATACACATTTACACGCATAGTCACCTGCAAAGCTCATCATTTGCAAGTGTAGAAACTTAGATGAGCAATTTTGCAATGACATGATAGTGTAAAAATAGATGTGATTTGACTATACCAATGATGCATGCATTTGTTGTTTATTTATTTACTAGTGTCGTTTATTACACGGGGTGCTTACTAATTTTGTTTTTTTAAAATTTAATTTATTTCGCGGCGAAGTGGAAGGATGGCAAATCAGTACCAACGCGAAAGCCAGAAACGAAATCTCTATCATCCAATGTAAAGACGGCTTTCGGTGCTGGTTATCCAATTACAAAAGCGACCCCATAGGCTTTCGCTTTCGCGTCTCTCTAAAATTGCACAGAACAAACAAAGTCGAGCCAAGAGCATCCTCATTCTTAGAGAACTGGAAAAATAGTGGAATTTTTATTCCGCTGATCGAGAGATATTAAAGCTGCATAGATTATTTGCATTGCACCTATTATTATTAACCAAGAAAAATAAAAAACGGGCGTGGGAGAATAATTCCATCACCCCAAGACCATGTCAATGCTGTTGCCAGAATTTCTCGGATTGCACTGATTAGGCAGAAGAAGCCATATTAGTCCTGATGAAGCTTCCCAGGGGGAAGACTTTCCATGATGTGGCGATGTTTTCGTTCACCACGTTCATTCAAATGGCAATTAGGCCAATTAGACTAAAGGGAAGGAACCGCTCGGCCATCTCTCCTCCATAATGGTTATAAATTTTGGGGCCTTCTTTTTTTATATAACCCCGTTCATTCTTCCTTGAAAAACTTATATTTAATCAATTCATTTCTTAAAAAAAAATCCATTGCTTCCAGATCCAGAAACAGAAAAAATCCATATTTGGCATTGGGTCTATTGGGATCTAGAAATATTTTGTGATGAACGTACAGGAAAACCTTCTTTGGATTTGCCCAAGATCTCTAGAATTCATTAATGAATGAGAAAAAATAGTTGAAAATTTTAAATACTTTTTATAAAAAATATATATTATATATATTTTAGTATGTCACTTGTTACTTGTGCGACTTACTTGTGTTATATTATAATATTTTTTTCTAACTTATAACATATACATTAAACATAAATATATTAATTGAGAAATAATTTTATTTTTCTAATTAATTTTAATAAATATCTTTTTTATTATTATGAATATAAATAAAACTTATTTATTTTACATATACAATATGAATGTCAAATCGAAACACATCAAAAGATGATTAATTTGATATATTATATATGTAAAACCAATAAGAAATACAAGAGTTATCAACTTTTAAAGTACATTTGCAATTCAATAGTTATAATAAGAAATGATATTAAAATACATCTAAAATTATCATAAATAAATCAACATATTTATGATAATCCGAATCTAATTATTTTTTAATTTGAGTTAAATTAAAATTTATCCAACCCAAATAACAAAGCTGGAATTTTGACACATAGGATCCCAAAGCATGCGAGTCTGTCACTTAAGCTCAACACATTCGAGAATTATATATAAGGGAGATTGTAGTTATGTATATATAGGAGCTTCAATTTTATAAATAGTCTCAATTTTTAATTTTAGTCCAATAGAATTTGGATTATATCAACTATGTCTTGCATACAAATAGCCTTTACTTCTTGACCACATATATGAACAAATGCAGAAATGCTACAAATAGATTCACCTATTTAACAAGGTAAAACACTAAATCAAGAATATGAAATTACTACACACACACATATATATATATATATATATATATATTATGTTATCCAAATTCCAATTAATAATCAAATGATTAGTACTTAATTAACTGTTTACTCTTACAAGTTTGCAATCGCTGATCAGAGCTGTCAAAATATTAGCCCACCCGTCATGCCAATATGAATACTCAAGAATCATATGTTTTGTAGGCCCAAAGAGATTGTATTTTTGGATTGGTCACAGGGTTTGTTCCATTTGCCAAACGGGCCAAATTGGATCTGACGGATTTTCGAACTGGTCTTTTATAGGAAGGCTATGCTACAGAAATAATGTAAAAGTTAGCCCAAAGTTTTTGGGAAAAATACATACATAACCCCTAGACTAGAAATATCTACATAAATACTATTAGAAGGAAACATAATCAAAAGAGGAGTTAGTAGTGATTTTATTTTCACAAATACGACATAGTAAATAAATAATGAGATATGTTTATTCTCTCTCCATTTATTGAATGTCATCAAGCGAGATTGACGCAAAAAAAAACGGCAAAACACGTTCAACAGAAAAAAAATGAAAAAGAGGGCGATCGTGATTTCCTATAATCCAGGAAATCACGAATTCAAACATCAGGGAACGGAAGAATCTCTTCGTGAACAGATTAGTGGGTACCAAAAAACACTTGCGAAGGAAAAAAAAACGCTTGTTGTTCGTGACAAAAATTTGGAATTAGTCTTGAATCAAAGACGTTTGAAGGTATATTCATGCCTATTTAACTTTGTTTTTTGGTGATGGAAACGTAATTGTTGGTTTGTTTTTTTTTTATTTTTTTTATTTTCAGATTCTGTTTTTTTAGATCCAGATTTCGTTTATTTTTTTTATTTTCAGATTCCGTTTTTTTATTTTTTTGTTCGTGACAAAAATTTGGAATTAGATTTCGTTTTTTTTTTCAGGAAACGTAATTTCGTTTTTTTTCAGGAAACGTAATTTCGTTTTTTTTTTACCTCTAGCGAATATGTTTATTTTTCAGGAACATGAATGATGTAAATGTGTTTCTACATCATAATGGAGTATGGATCAACAATGAATACGTGAAGCAGTTAAGTATACGGAAGATAAACAGGAGTTAAACAACTTCAGAACACTTGAATGTTGTGTCGATGGAAGTATGATTTGGGATGTTGTTGTCGGCCAATCTTTCAGAGATAAAAATGAAGTGATCAAGCTGCTCAGCCACCATGCAATAACAAACCAATATCAGTTCAAAGTGGAGCAAATGTGGTGAGAAAGGGCATAATCTAAAGACATGTTCAAATCCGAAGAGAGTTAAACAAAATTAGATTAATGTGTTTTCTTAGTGTTTCATTTGTGGTAAGGGTTAATTTTTAGATTGGTCGGTTGTTGTTTAGTTGTGGTACAATTGTACTGGACTCTTTTATTAAA